CCAGTTTCGCTAAAGCCTGTAGTGTGATGCGCGCGATAGCGGGCGGAGCAAACTCGCTGGTGCTTTAAAGCAACAGTCCAGGCAGGGTTTCAACTACTTGGTCATTAGGCGGTCAAAACATGCCCCAGCCCAACTAAAGTTTATAGGAAATGTCTTTAATTTCAAAACCTACCTCTAAAATGCGCTGGAAGGGGTCGAAGTCCTCTTGGAGGGGGCGGATCACCCATAAAGAGGCGGATCGCCCAACATACGCTGTGCAGAGTCCGCGCTTGACTAGCGGTCGTTGCGGGACCGCCGCGCTGTATGAGGTCGATTCCATAAGAACGCAATTGAAGCGCTTCAATTTCGATTGCTGGCAAATAGTTATGTATTTGCAAGCATGCAGCTATTTGCCAGCAGTTGCAATTGGAGCGCATGTACTACGGGCAGGTTCGGACAACTCGTCCAACACACGTCTCCCTAAACGGCAGGGCATGTCCCTGTCTAAGCCCCAGTTGGGCGTTTTCTTCACTTTTTCTCTTTACGTTCGACCACTTTTCACCTACAACTTCCATAGGTAGGTGCTTTTCCGCCCGCCGAATTCGATCGTGGAATGCTCCTTTAAAAACAAACCGTCAGTGAGATTCCTCGGCAGTTTTCCTCCTAGATTTAGAAAAGTGTCGCTGATCGAGAACTTCTGACGATATCGTTCAATAACGGCGCAAGCATCCTTCGATATTTGCATTGATCGTTCTAGGTCACCCTAAAAGGTGTGGTGACATTTGAGGAAACGTCATTGTAACGCCATTTGGAACTGTTCTGACCTTGTCACATGTCATCATGGCCTTGATGAACACGATGGTGTTGTGACCCAAAGCATGGTACATGCTTTTGTCAGCTCTGAAAAACCATATGTGATTACAGCAGAATCTTTTGCGAGCCATCAGTGAATGCCTTGGGCTAATATTGCAGGAGCTTTCTTAGGGTGAACAGTTTTCTCCCAGCCGGATGATCGGGACCAAATTTGTAGGAAAGGATGGAAAGGCTGTGACACGAGTTATAAAGACAGTGATCACAGTGGTTGGAAGACGGAGGGATTTGGAAGCGTCACTAGTGAAAGAGCGTTGAGAGCCAGTCCCACCACACTCCACCCTCCCGACTTGACGTCTCCAAAGCAGGGTCGGTCCTATCGTTGTTACTTTTCAAAAATTTTTACGACCCCCTCCCCCAAGGTGGATTTGGTACGACCCCCTTTTCGACACCTCGACCACCATCATCCTCTCTATAGTATTTAATTCTGGTACCACTCAACCCACCAAACTCCGCCCACTTTTTCCTCCAAAAATGCCGTCGAGCGGGGGTATATAGTCACTCTGAAACGTAAAAATTCTCCAAATTTCCTATAATTTCCTCCATTTCCACCATTTCACCCCTACTTTTACCCAATTTTACCTATCTTCCCACAACCTCATTTTCTAGGGGTATATACGCACGCTGAAACGGCGAATTTCTCTCCCATGCGCTCCCAACTCACCCAGCCTACTACTCGTGAAAACTCCACTTTCACCACACGGCTATACGAACCCCCCCCCTTCTCTATAAACTCAACCAGGTACGACCCCCCCTGGTAACAACGTTAAGGGTTGAAATCGTGCGCCAAAGCGCCTAAAATCAACATCTCATTACACCACATACGGCTATAATGTACATGACTGTGAAGGGGCTCACTAGTCGTACTGCAAAAAAGAACTCATCATTGAGGATATTCCCTAATACGTTTCTAAAAGGCTGAGTCGGCGTTGAATGCCCCTGTATAAAGGAAAGGACACGGAATTCCTCTTCTAATGCAGATATTCTACTATTGAAAAGTGCTTGAGCTATCTACATATAACGAAAAAAATAGACATTACAATGCACCATTCACTTCTTCTTCTGCCAGCTCGAATTTATTGTTAAGGAAGAGATTCAATGTTATTTGTGTCTCGGCGATTGTGTCTAGAAGGTCGAGGGAGTCACCACTAAAATGAAAAATGCTCAGATTCGGCTAGTCCATGTTCTAAAGTGGATATAACTTCCAGAAAATTTCGTAATTCGTATTATGTACTCAAGTCACACAAGCGGCCAAACGGTGGTGATAGAAATTCAGAAAACATGACAAACGGTGGATGATAGAAATTCAGAAAACATGAGAAACGAGGATCACGTGTCTTCAATGTCTCGATATGGGTCTTAATTGTGGGAAACAAATGCTACACGATCTCCCGTCGTGGTAATAGTAATAAAGGATAAAAAATAAAGCATTTGCCGTTGATCAATCCCTTTTTGGGATGCGGCACGCATTCTACTTCCATTTGTACATTCGTAGTGGCGTTTGAATGCGATGTGGCCTATACAATGACTTGCGGGCCAGCCGATGTACAAGTCAGTGTTTTTATCCTCCCAGACAAGTCTGGTACCAATTAACCGACCCCGGAGGGATGGAAGGCTTGGTTGGCCCGGGCGACTCACGACCCAGGATTTGATCCCGGACCGCCGCGCGTGGTAAGCGCGCCACTTGCCACTACACCACTTCCGTCCAAGTTTTGCTCAATAGTAATATTCGCTGATTTATTTTGGAATCCCCAGCCGAAAGGTCGTCTAATAGAGAAATGAGGGCCAGCAGGCCTACTTATTCCACCCCTCGTGAATTGCGTTCATTGAAGGCAGCGATTGCGATAGGTTCTAGAGGGGTTTAGAGGGGACGTAAGGGTGTTCAAAGGTACGCCACTGGCGAAAAAGCAGAGAAATCCGTCAAGAAAACGCAAAACGGGACCCCTCTTTTTGGCCGTTGATTTTCACTCATGAACAGGTAACAGCTCAGAAAGCGGACGTATGAACGAGTTCACCGCAACGCGTTTGGTGGCACCAAACCATGCTCCAGTTGAGTTGTTCCAGTTGTGCCGCTGCTGGCAACACCAGCCGATGACGTAGTTCTGGTGATCAAGAATAGTGGGGTGCGTCCAGAGATGCAGTTTTGGGGATTCATCCCCTGGCCGGGGCTTGCTGCACCCGGCCCCTGATCAGCAATAAGCGCATCGCTAGCCGTGAAAGCGCCATATCTCGCTTTTGTGGCATACCCCTTTTTTTACTTTTTGGCTACTGCTCCCTGTGGCGCATATATAATACTTCTCCAATGCGCTCCCTCTTTATCGTAATCGCTATTTTAAACAGATGCTATAGTTATCCTGAAAATAGTTCAGCTACAAAAATCACCAAAAATCTCCTACGCCAACGATGCTATCATTTTAACTCGGCACTTCAGCCAGTAGATTTTGTTTATTTAGCTATGGAATCCATTGGATTGGAGGATATAACGCATACAAATAAAAACAGATTGCTGATACAGTAACGAATCCTCTTGCATGAAGAGGAAAAAGAACAAAGTCCGGTCTATACTCACTAAGTGATGTTCTCGTTGGCATCGGTGTACTCGGCATCGCTCTCAGAAACACCTCCACCGGCAGTCAGGCGGCTCAACGATCGTGGCCGCTCCACTCCGTTCATTCACTTTTCCGTAAGAATTCAATGGAGCTGAAACAAGGCAATAACAATCTAAAACGGTCTTTTCTAAAAGCGCCATCAATACCACGGACACCAGGAGCTTCTTATCTAATAAACTTTGCATAAATACAAAATGAAATAACTGCGAAACTGAAACATTCCAAAGTCTTCAACGACTACCTTCCCTTATTCAAGGTATTGCTTAACCTTTACATCAGCTCACATGGTGCTCATTCTCTTCCTGGTACCATTGCATAAAGTGCAGTCTTTTAACCCTTCTCCGAAGCTGGACACTCAGGGTTCTCATGAGAATGCACTACTTCACAAATATATGAAGACTCAAATTAAGCTCTGGAGGTACGGCTAGCCCGTGATCCCTCCTGTTTGACCTGGCGCGCTCGATTACTGCTGATATTACCTTCCGGTGGTTTCTTGTCGGAGAAAAATCCAAGGCGGAGCCAATTTCAGTGAAACGTTCGATGAGTAGTTCAAGCGCTCTTCCCCACTAATGCCCTCTGGTATTCGGCAGGAGAAACATCGCATGGCAAAAGGGCAATAGTGGAGGAGTCGCAGCGCGTACTGTAGTGATTTCGCGTCAAGTAAATAGAATGTACCACTGTACGTCCTACATCGCACAGCACGCGCTGCGACTCGTCCGCTGACTCTGCCTTCTTGCGCGCGACGGGCCTCCTGTCGGGTGCCTACTACCCTCGCGGGAAGGACGTTGTTTGAGTGCTGACGTCGTTAGACAGACAAGCATGACAAGCAGCGATGATGCATGATCTCTAGGAAGACTTTTGAATAAAATATTCAGAAGAAGAGTCACGGCGAGAAATTTATGCACAAACCCAATAACTCCCATTTTTGGTTCCCAAGCTGGCACTGAATAGCCTCTACATGCAAGCCTATAGGAAATTTTGAGAATTATTATGGTGGGAATCTATTGCCAAATGGAGACGGTGCTTAAATGATTTATCAAATTCGCCAGCTTCACCAATTAGCGATGTACTGAACTTTCGAAAATAATTTTTGTCTTGTTTCGATCCCAATAAGAGAGCTGAAGAAATAGGCAACTGTTGACGTCAATAAGTAGGTGCGTATATATAAAATATCCAGTTTCTATAGAAAAATACAATTTTTTTCACCAAGATTTATATTCATAAATAGTCATTATAGTTTTCCTAAGCTAGTTAACTAAACAATAGAACAATGCCACACTAGGAGAAGGTAATAAGCATTTAAGTATCACCAAAATAGGACATTTCTGGATTCTTCTGAAATAAGTTAAGCAGGATAAGCTCCATTTGAGAATTTCCGAGATGCTTCCTTCAGGCTTTGAGACGACGAACTAGTCGAAACGTCGGTTCAATAAGCGCTTCACTATGAAAAACCTGTTTGGCACAGAGGAAAATCTTCCAATTATCTGGACATGCCAAGGTTTCAAGAAAGGCAAACTGGACGTAATCTTCTGACTACTTTCGAAGTGTTTTTGTTTCGCAATAAACTTTCAGAGGTCTACAGCGGTTTCAACACAGTAGCAACGATGTCGCCCGTGCCAAGCGACACCTCTAAAATGTAATCCCACTGCGCATGTTCCTTTGAGCGGTGCTATGTTAAGGTTGTAAAACCTATGATGGCCATGTTCTTTGAAGAATTCTCACAGCGAAAGTTCTACAGAAGGGATGCTCGAAAGTGTTTCTTTCGGCTCAAGGTCAAAGCTTGTTCTTGTTTGCAGTGAACTAGCTGCAACTAGCAATGGTACGACTTCTTCTTCTTCGCCTAGCGTTAGTCCCGCGCAGTCGCAGGGTCCGCTGTTTTTGTCAGCCGTCGCCACTTTGCTCTGTCCAGGGCATCTTCCATCGTGGCCGCGACCTCACCTAGGTCCTTCTTGATTACGTCTTTCCACCTTTTCTTCGGGGCTCCTCGCGGTCGCTTGCCTTGTACTTCGAAGTCCATCGCTGTTCTTATCGGATGATCCTGTGGCCTCCTTAGCACATGCCCATACCATCGCAGACGCTGTTCTCGTACCTTCAGCTGGACAGGGGCAGTCTGCATGACCGCTCTGACGTCCTCGTTTCTAACCTTGTCCAGCCGCGTCCAGCCGCAGGCCCATCTCAGCATCCTCATTTCGGCAGAGTGGAGCTGCCTTTCCTGATTCTTGTTCAAGCCCCAGCACTGCCGTGACCATGCAGCGTTGACCCGAGCCTTCACCGCCTGATCCACACTACCGTCGGCTGCCAGATCGCTCCCAAGGTATCGGAAGTCCTCCACCCTTTCGATGGTCTCACCATGGCCGTCCACGATCGGCTCTGCACCCTCTTCGGAGCTCAGGAACTTGGTCTTCTTGACATTCAGCCGAGCCCACCTTCTGCCATTTCTGCACCTTGGCTTGAAGTTCCTCTCTACTATCCGCTATCAGGGCGATGTCGTCAGCGTAGAGGATGGTCTTCAGTGGTCCCTTCCATGAGCCCCTTCACCAGGACATCTAGTGTTAGGAGGAAGAGGAACGGAGCTGACCCTTGGTGCACCCCGACCGTGATGTCCACCTCCTTCGTTAGGCCGTATGAGGCGCTCAATGGTACAACTATTGACAAAAAAGTGATTTGTGTTCAAGCTCATTTGTGGATTCTACAGTGGAAAATTGGAATTTTCCGAGAGCGTTCCGAAGTTTCACCTTTGCGACGGGGAGATTTTTGCTTGGTTTGCAGCCATTAAGCATTTGTACGAGACAAATGATGTTTCAGCAGTTTCCGCATTGTGTTCTCATTGATTTGGTATGTACACCGTATGGAAGCGTTTCAGCATTAGGACGCAATTTTCGGGAACACCCAAAAATTGCTTGGTCGCCAGTGTGTTAATGTGAGGGCTCTGAGCGATCGAATGCGTGTCATTCCGCTTGAAAATAAAACAATGAAGTGGATCGACAGTGAGGAATATATTTATGGGAAAAGATTGAGTTTGAGGCGCTCTTTTCCTTGTGAGATCCACCGCGGTCTAACGGAGGCACACAGAGCAGCGAAGAGATAAAATATGCAAGGGAGCACGTCGTCTGAGAAAACGCTGACACCATGTATTTTGCGAACGAGTAAAAATGGTTGCCACAGGCCGCGGTGAAGCCTTGGCGTCAAAAATGGGTAAGGGTGTGCACTGATTAAGGTAGATTGAATTAGGGAGACCCACCTGCGGTGGGCGGAGCGCTCTCTAAAAAGGCGGTGGGCAGTGCTCAGGCTGGAGGCTTGCCACGAAACATAAATCGGATCAGAGACAGTCTGGAGCAGGGTGAAATCGGTCGAGGAACTCCTGGACAGGAGAGTCGTATTTGTCAGGCTTAGTCATGGTGGTCAGTAACAAGCACATCAGTGATACTGTGGTTCAGATAGGAGGGAGAGCATGTAGCGCGGCAGAAAACGAGAATGTGTGAGAAAACAAGATTAAAAAATTCCTGCAGGTTCAGTCGCTCCATTCCTCTACCTTTATGAGACGTATTTGAAAGCAGTACAAAGAATGAAAGTGCATCTCCGCAAGGAACGGGGCCACATGTGCACACGCACTGCAAAGGCACGTCCTTTACCTGCGGAACGCTCACTCGCCCTCAGAGTAAGGTCGTTGTGGTTTGCCTTCGATACTTATTTCTATTTCTACAATAATTAATAGATATGAACTGAACAATCAGATTGTTCACAACATTTCGCAATCGAAATCATCTGGAAATGCGTAGGTGGCATGCTCTATGCGCTCCGAGGAGCCGCTCAAAGGCCAAGATAAGATTGAATGAACCAAATTTTCAAGCATTTTGAACGAGAGCGCT